CCAGCAGATGGTAGTAAAGGACAAAACAGTCAGGATAAGCACTGAAATAATGTCTCCTACAGTCCGTCCCACCCCACAAACGTGCTTATTTTCTTATTTGCAGGGTATTAGTCTGAAGTGAAGTCAAACGACTCTTGCTTTATTTCACTTTTTGATGCCTATCAGGGAGTGAAGGTCAAATGCGGTTTCGAGTGTACAGCCACCGACTGTATAGTATGCCGTTAAATGAAAACCCTCTGAGTCAATTTTCACAGTAACAACTGCAATAAATCAGAGGAGTGCCACCAGTGAGCAGAGTGTGCCTCTAAACTCAGGCTTGCCAGCCGTTCCCCGAAGTGAAGTCAAACGACTCTTGCTTTATTTCACTTTTTGATGCCTATCAGGGAGTGAAGGTCAAATGCGGTTTCGAGTGTACAGCCACCGACTGTATAGTATGCCGTTAAATGAAAACCCTCTGAGTCAATTTTCACAGTAACAACTGCAATAAATCAGAGGAGTGCCACCAGTGAGCAGAGTGTGCCTCTAAACTCAGGCTTGCCAGCCGTTCCCAGCCAGCCTAGTTAGATCAGCATTGATTCTCTGTCTCACTGTGATGCTGCAATAACATTTGACCTGTGAATGTTGAGATCACAGCAGCATGCTGGACTTTTACACCGCCGCTTTCTCCCATCGCTCGGATATGATACAGTATGTACAGTTCACCTAAGCGCTAACCGCACACCTATTCAATTCATTAGGTGCATCTGAACAGACTTATCAATCGCAAAGTCATTTTGTCAATCATAAAAATCGGCCTTTGCCAAACAATAAAGATTAGGTATGAGTGAAAATGACCAGAGTAATGAAACGATGTTTATCAAGGCAACTGTAGCGCTGTCAAACTGTACTGATGGCTAGTTCTAATATTCAAGTGTTTTGGTTGCTTAAAATGTGCATTAATTTACAGGCTATAATCCCTGTTTTATACTTGACCTGTTTGATGTTCATGCTCTCTTTCAAATAAACAAATCAAAAGTTATTTACCAGTTACTTGGGAGTTATGTTTTTTTGTTTTTGTTTTTTTTTTAAATACTGAATACCGATTGACACTTGTCTTTTTCAAGTATTTGTACTTTTACTTGAATCATATTAACACCAAATAACATACAGTATACTCTCACCTGAGTATGATTTTTGCCTTTTCTACCCATCACACAGTAATAAGAAACTTGCACATGCACCATATAAAGTACTTTATTTGTATTTCCTATTGTTTTCTTTGCAGATGCCAGGACAGGTTTTCCTCCCCTTGGTCAATTTACAAGTACTGTACTTAACTTGCAAAAAAAAAATAAATAAATAAACACATATTTTGTTTCATTACCTTGTATCTACAAGACACAACACCGATCTCTACTGCATTAATATACTTTGTACTAATGTAATGCTGCTGTTTTTGTTGATGTTGTTGTGACTTCTCCTTTGCCCCATCTGAGGAAGTTACATTCATGCAATATACTGCTACTGTACTAAGTATAGCGTCCAATGAAATGACGTCAATGCCCAGTTTTTCGTGACACTGAAAGACCGGTATGGTGTTCTACTGTCACAGTAGTTTTTCAGTGATATAGAAGTTTCCTCCATCTCACAACCCAAAATAACAGAAGCAGAGATAGATGTTGATTTTTAAAATGTACCGGTATTCACTCTTTTTGTGGATTTTATCATTCTATGTTGTGAAAGTGTTCATAATGTTGTGGGGCTGCTTACACATACTGTAAAACACACAAGTACACACACACACACACACACACACACACACACACACACACACACACACACACACACATAAAATTCTCATCAACTCGTATGTTAATCAGCCTCATTTTGAGGGATTTATTGCATTCCGATACGCATCAATGTGATTTCATACAACAAATGATAGTCATTGTTACAGAATGATTTAAGACTCCTAAAATCTGTAACAAAATGATTCAGAATACAAAAATATGGAGAGAGCGCTATCATAACAACACAGGCCCAACGACAAACTGATATCAACTTTATTTCCGTTGTAGGAGGACTCACTTAATCTCATGTATCTCGAGCCTGTCCCAAAAAGTAGCCAGATGAGAAATTGTTGAAAGATACAGTCAGGGATTCATTTAATTCTAACGTGCGCTTTTGTATATTCACAAACCGACAGGAATATAAACAAGTCCCACCTACATGATAACAAATCTCTGAGTGTGCACTGTCATTTTATAAGAAGTACACTTAAAAGATACCTCCCGCCCTCCCCCGACAAACAAATACACAATCACCATTATCACAGACGTCATCTCCACTTTGGACATTTATTGCTTGCGTTTATTACAGTGGGACTGCCCACTTCTAAATACAAGCTGAACAGAATCAACAAAGAAAGCAGTTGATATGCGCTAACATGTACACGTATTTGTGGTTCGTGTTCGTAAAGGAGACCCAGAACGAAGCCCCTGGGGTGATGTTCTCCACTCAACATGGTGCAATGTGTCAGGCTGCATTTCCAGCCAAGGGTGTGTTCGCCGGCTTGCGGTGGCAAATCCAGCTTGACAACCCGATGTGTGGTTGCCATGTTAAAAGTAAATAACCCAATAAGAACAAGAAATATGGCGCACATTTCTTGTTCCTATTCTTGAAAAGGTTACATTTGGAACCAAAGGGAGCCCGATTTTCTGTCGTAATTCCTTCTTTGACAGTGGCGACTCGCTTGTGATGTGAGCAAAGCGAAACAGAACCAGCGCTTCTCGCCTCGACATGACTCGACTTACTCATTGTGCTGAATGATGACTTGATGAGCGCACCCTGAATTGGCATCCGAGCTAATTACACAAGGTGCAGCAGCATTATTAAGTGAATCTATTTACCCAGCGTCCTGTGAGGTTACAGTGAAGCCCTGCATATTTGCGAATGTGCCTGTTTTTACTCGATGAAAAGGTGCTCAGGCCAAAGCAGTAACAGTATGTTGAAGGACATAAGGACGAATGTTGAAGTGAGTTGATGTCTGATGAGTTTCATTTCGACATCAATAGTGCTTTGCCACCATCTTGTGGCAGCTATAGACATTTACAAACCTTTTTTTAGCGAGGACATCATTTATTCGCAGATTTGCAGGGAGGTTCACTGTATTCCAATGAAGAGGTGCATTCATTGGGTCCAAGAAACAAAGCATATTGATTTTTAACCTGATAATTTGACGGAATTTTCTCTTTGTCGTGGTGACGTCACTGTCCTCTCGCAGCTTCGCCCTCAAAGGCCCCGTTGTCGTAGTGATGCTCCTGTCTCTCGGGGTCAAAGTTCAGCGGGTCAGTGAGCGGGACCTCATACATGGCTTCCCCACCCGCCACTGTGATGACGGTGACCTCTTGTGGCGCCGCTTGAGACATGCTGTCCTTCTCGTCCACCTCCACTCCCAGAGCCTTGAGGATGTCACATTTGCACATGGGGCAGGTCCTTTTCTCCAGCAGCCACGGTTCGATGCAGGCTTTATGGAAAATGTGGTCACACGTGAGCACAGTCACCACCTCGCCCGCCTTGTACGACTCAATGCACACGGCGCACATGTGGGATTCGCTCGCCGTCTCTTCGTCGTCTCGCTTCAGCGTGCGCACTCGCAGGCGCCCGATGGCCTTCTTGGCCTCGGATTTCAGCCTCCTCTCAGCTCGCCGGTGCATGCGCATGTTGTAGAGGCGGTTGGCC